TTGTATATCTTATATCTGTGTATTCTACTTGGCTGTGTGCTTCAAAAAAAAGGGGGGGGGGTCGTCTTGAACATAGTAAATAGCCATAACGTTTGAACGGTAAGTACTAGGGCTTTCGTATTTCAAATATGTAATCCTTGTGAAAAGAACTTTTATTGGATACGACGAACTTTGACCCTTTGACCTAGACCTTGGAGAACGCATGTGTGCATCTGAATCTTTTTTTCTGTTTCGTTTCTATGGCAACCGTGAACGACTCATTACAATTATTTTGAAAGTAGAAATCACTTTGACACATTGCAAGGAATAAACATTGAAAGTTTCAAAACGATTGCCTGAGTAGTTATTGAGAAAATCGAAATTAAAGAATTTTAACTTTCACCTGGTTTCCATGGCAATAATCGATTATATGAAAATTTTAAATACGAGTTGCAGAACTACAGATACTAATCATTAAAATAAGAAAAGTTTCATGACGAACGTTTAAGGGACCAGAGAGAACACTCTCGGACAAAATTTGTCGCTTTTTACAGGTTTCCATGGCAACGGTAGACATATTGGAACTGAACGACCTCACTGCACAACTACAACCAGTGATCGTCCTTTAAGGAAAGTTTCAGGAAGATTGTCCCAGCCATCTCCGAGAAACAGCCTGGATAAAAAAAACATGCGTACAATATCAATATGTCGTCCCCGACTTCGTTCGGGGCGACATAATAAAAATAGTGGAAATGAAACCTAAGAATAACAGTAAGGTCTTCCGCTGAAGACGGAAGACCTTAATAATAAAAATAGTGGAAAAGAAACCTAAGAATAACAAGAAGGTCTTCCGCTGAAGACGGAAGACCTTAATAAAAATAGTGGAAAAGAAACCTAAGAATAACAAGAAGGTCTTCCGCTGAAGACGGAAGACCTTAATAAAAGTGAAAAAGAAACCTAAGAATAACAGTAAGGTCTTCCGCTGAAGACGGAAGACCTTAAATATGTTAACATAACAGTCAATCTGAAGTGTTCATCCCTCAACAGCAACAAGTTTACTGAAATTCTTAAGAAAAAGGAAATCACAATTGGAATTCCTTTAAATGTACCTTCTCTTCACTGTCTTTAATATCGTGAATTGACATTGGCTTCCTTTTACTAGACTCTATTTTTAGGGCAAGCAATTCCTTTTCCAGTTGTTGTATTTCTGTTGAGAGGTGCTGCATTTCTTGAGTACAGTTAAATGTGCAGGATGCTGAGTAGTTGTGCTCTGCTATCAACTGAAAATATATCGTGAATTATGAGTAATTCGATGTACAGTTAAAAGAACTGTTCTATTATAAAAAAATTAATGAAAATGTTTCAGTGTTGGCCATTTGTTATCAATGGTGTTTTAAATGAGCTTTACTTTTTCTTGATCTTGACAATTTGGTGCTTGAGGAATCTGTAACTGGTCCATCTGTGAAGATTACAGGGACTCCTCACTTTTGAGTTTTTTCCTCCTTTGTAATAAATAATTAAACTTGAATTATTTTTTATTCAGTTGTAAGCTGCTCTGTTTATACATGTACCCTTTTAAAGATTTTTTGTAAAATATTCTCAATTAAACCTTTAACACCCTCCATCCAAAAACAAGATATCATATTTTGAAAAATAATTTAACCTTTTTGTGCATTCAGGATCCGAGAAATCCATGGGCTTTCCCTCATTCCATGCAAAATATGCAGGGTCCCCCTCTTTCTTACCATCCTTAAAGTGGCAGGAGCAGATCCTATCATTCTAATCTCCTGGTTGGCGATCAGCTTGGAACACTTCTAGTATACCGGTCCCCATAAATATGGCGCTAAATTAGGTGCCGCCGAAGGCGGTGTACAATATATAGACGATCGCGTGAGCGATCAACAAAATCGAAAAAGAAGCCACAAATTGCAAATTTGACCCCAAATTCGTGTTCCTTGTGAAAAATTGGGTTTTAAAAACTGGTTTTTAAACACAGTTTTTTAAATGAGAATTAAAAGATTTCGTAAAATAACGTACTTGTTTCGGAAGTAAATCTCCATCTTGCGTTGTTTAGGAATGTAGTCACATGATGAATTTTTGACGTAATCTCATAAATATTCATGAGATGCGTCACTTGTGTTTTGACGTAATGAAGAAATGCCTGATAGGACTCAAAGTGTAATGCTGTTAAAATTGCGTGATTTTTGTAAGAAATACAGTGATTTAACAAATGTTAGCTAATTACTAGTCGTCAATGGATTGAACTGTGCATCATTATCGATTGGAAAGGAATTCTGAATATTCGGACATGATTAGGAGGTCAGGATAACGAGCTGCAGCTAAGGGTAAGTCGCTTTTACAATAACTTGCCTAAACTCGGCGATGAAAATCGTCATGTTTCGACAATAGAGTTGATTTAGCCGAACTTTCATTTCTTAAACTAAATTTCCTTTGTAAAGCAAAAATTTCATGAACTAAACCAAAGTGTAAGATATCGGCATGATTCGACAGGCTGATCCATGCAAGTTTTTGGTCGCAAATGGCACTCATATTGCCTTTTATATGAAGCAAAAATTACATAAATTAGCCAAAAGTCAGAAAGATTACAGAGTGGATTTATAAATCAACCCCAATTTTAAAAACTATATAACTTAACCTTAATCACTCGATCGGATGCGTTTTGTTGAAGCGAGTGGGAAATTGCGGTTTGTTTACATTCTGCATAGCAACGGCAAGGGAAATAACTGCTCATGCGCAATAGCGTGATTCTGGGGACCGGCATACTAGAAACTTCCCATTTGGTATGTTATTTAATATCAAATCGTAGCCCAAATGACTTATTTTTTCCATTCTTTTTTTTTATATGTTACATTTACTTGCAAGTACAAGATAACCATGTGCATAACATTAACAAAGGGTAGTTGTACTTGGTGGTAATAATACGAAATAAAATGTAATAAAACAGCTGTTAAACGAAAAATATTATTGCTACAAATTGCACAGTTTTAGTAGTATAAACTCTTCATTATTCTTCTGCTATATTCACGGGCACTGGAAGTTAATGTAAATATATAGTATGTGTATGTATAAAAAAAAAAAGAAGGGTCTTTTTATATACATACACATACTATATATTTGTACATTAACTTCCAGTGCCCTAGGCTATATTGATTACGACGAGATTTAACTTTTTAGCATGTATGTATAAATATCTGACAATGCAGCATCGTGACATATCGTTACAAGTACCTACAAATTTCGTCAACATTTCTACGTTTACCAAGTTTTTTTCCTTGCAGGCCGAAATATCTCCATTATGTCACGATGGTAAACACTCGTGCATCTCCTAATTAATGCTGTAATAAACAAACTGACTGTGTTTTTTCTCACCTGCATAGTTTTCCCCACAACAATCGCTTCTTTCCGTCTGTGGGAAAGCGATAAAACTTGCAGCTGTTAGCCCCACTACGATGGTTGCAAGCGAATGCGAAGCATATCACCATTTTTGTTTGTCACCGGAAGTATTCAAATCTCGCGCGCTCTCGTTTACGAGCTTACTAAACCGCCCCCTGTTTTTGGTCAAAGCGCCCCCAGTTAAAAATTGTGTGTTATTAAATAGACCCTTTCAAGGTTATTAGCCGCCATCTTGGATTGGGGGCATCACGCGACATCGTAGCTAACGTAAACAATGGCAGCTGATGCAGAAGCACCGCATCAATTTTCGCCTAGCGATCGCCTCACAGTCATTGTCATTTGAAACTGAATGTATACATATTGTAAGCAACATATTTTATTCTAAAAAAGAATATTTTCTTTAATAATAAGTGTTTATTTACCTTAAATGAACTGCAATATTACAACATGCATCATGTAAAACGTGCGGAGATAGAGTGTTTATGTTACGATGCTATCTATCATCTCTTACAGTTTAAGCATAAAATATTTGTGAAAATCAAAACAAAAGAAGGTTTAAGCATAAAAACACTCATTTACATTTTATTTTTTACTTTGGTGATTTTTTTAAAAATTAATTTCTTTTATATCTATACCACTAACACGGGCGGATCCAACTGAGAATATTGAGAAGTATTGAATGAATAAAAGCTCATAAAACATCTGTAAATAGACCAATATATTTAAAAAATAATATTTATTTTTATATAATGTTTTAGATATTTTATTGAGATAATTTTAAATATATGTTTTAATTAATTAACTATGTGTACATGTAATATTATAGAATGATTTAAAAATATGTTGCATACATGTGTATATCAATATCAAAATTGCAACTTCAAAGTTAATAATTATACAAATTTATTTAAACAGTAATTTTTAAAGAATAATTTTAATCTTACAAAAAAAATTGTCTGTGTCTTGTGCACTGTGTGTGTAAAATTCTGCTTAACTTTTAAAATTATTAAAATAAGGTTAACAGTGCTATTTACATTAATTTTTGGGACATTAAAAGCTATACAAGATTTAGACTGTGTATTGACATTGAAAGTACTTCAACAGTTACAGCTTCTGACAAGTGATCATGATGCAAAGTCTCTGATTCTATACCTGGTTATCTTATAATAAATTTCATCATTAACATTTGTTAAAACATAAAATTTTTTTTTAGTTTACCAGATATGATACAAGAATCCAAATACACGTACACATGTACATGTATTGAAGACCTTTCCTTTGTTAAAGCTGACATGAACTCTTAAAAAGGCATCATTTTTCATCTTTGTACGACTTACTACATTCCTGTACGCCTTTGTCCGCCATATTTCTTCGATTCCGCCATATTTAATCGAACATTTTTGGCCACCTGTACCTGCTATATATAGCCTTTTACAATTGTTTCACTTGAGTGATTTTCTATCCTGGCTGTCGACATGTGCACATCTTCGATAGCATAGTTTTTAGAAGTCAATAAACTGACCAATACATGTTTGAAAAGTAAAAATTCAACAAAAACTAGAACTATACCGAGAATTAAATTATTTTTTGAATGCATTTGCTGCAATATAGAAAATACACTTACACGGAATACATTCAAGTAGAGCAAAAATTCCATGCAGGTCAGTCGAGAAAACGCGTCAAACGCAGTGATAGAAATATTTACCTGAGTACTGCTATCGTTACAGGGATGTGCACATGTCGAAAGAATTATCCTATTTTACTTTTATTGAAAAATGCATCTCAGAAATCATGTAATCCATTGCTAACTCAACAGCAAAAACTGCTTGGACACACGTGGTCCATGCCTATCATTTTATTTGGTCAGGGAAAATATCAAAGGTTGAAAGCGCCGTGGAGTTGACTGAAGAAAATGCAAATAATTTTTTTTTTAAGAATAAACATTACTCTTGTCTGTAAATGGTGAAAATAAGATTTTTGAAAACATGGTTTAACTTCATCAAATTTATAATAAAGCATGCATTATTACGAATCATTCACCTTTTGAAGATATGAAGATATTTTCCTGTGAAAGGGGGGGGGGGTAATAAAACATGCATAACATTCTCATAAAAATATTTAAAGAAAAACGTCTGAAACAGATTGGATTTCTTTATGATCAAATATAATCAAATAAATACTGTGTATTGGCTTTATTAGACCTAATATAATTGATTTAAAGTTATTTATAATTTTATGCACAATGAAAGAAAAAGTTAGCAAATTCACATACCCCACGCTCCCACAAAAGTCGAAGTGCTGAAATTCACAGAAAAAATAAAGGAATCGTAATTTCCTTTTAATATGCCCATATATACACATTGTGTCCTAAATATCTGCAAAGTTTGACTAAATTGTGTGCAGCGGTTTATGAGGAATTGCCCTGACAAACTGCTCATCTTTATATTCAAGATATCGCCAAAATCTAAATGTAAAAGTGCGGAAATTCCCGAAAAAAATAAAGATTTCGGAATTTCCTGGTAATGTGCAAATACAGACACATTGACTCCTTTAAATATCTCGAAAGTTCGACAAAATTCTGTGCATTAGTTTATAAGAAGTTGCGCTGACCAAAAAAAAAAGGGGCTGACTGATGGGTCCAAAACATTATACCTCACGCAACTTGTTGCGAGGGGTATAATAAACGAGTTTGATTCTGTGGTACAATGATAATGAAAATAGAATTTAATGTGAATTAAATTTCTAGACATAAATAATTAATGATTACTAGAAAAAGCAGATAAAATGAGAGAGGAACCCCCCCCCCCCCCCCCCCGCGAGGATTTCCGCATTCTTCCTACAATTACCTTTATAAAAATTCTATTGTCTTTTGTCCAGGTTCAGCATATACATGTAAGTGTCGGAACCGGGGGGATGGCTTTTGTACAAATATATACTTAGTATAGACATTGAATATTGCTGCGTAGTCTCCCCCCGGGGGTATCATTTAGTGAGCTCATTGCTCACAATACCTCTAGCTTCTCTTTCAATTTGGCCGTTTGGGTTAACTTCTCGTCCAAATTAAAATTATTATTCAATTTATGAAGTTTCGAAATCTCGCCTGAAAAAAAATCCTTGATCTGTCCTATATAAAGCTTAATAAATGGACAGCACAATGTGCATGGGATCTTATACCTATTATTGCCCTAAGAGATGACTACAGAGTGAGAGAGAGAGAGAGGGAGAGAAAGAAAGAAAGAGAGAGTTCAATATACAAAAGAGTAAATAAAAATTATCCGTATTCAACCAGTGTCAAGACTCCCTACCCTAGCTTGTAAAATTATCTCCCAAATACTCCTACAGAAATTATTTTTAAATATAAAAAAATAGCTAGACTATCAGGCA